GGCTTTTCTTCTCTGCATGCTCTTTGTTCTTCAAACAAAGACAGCTGTTTGACACTCATCTCCGTAGGGGGTCACCTCACACCTCTCAGTGAGACATAAGTCTCAAAACTTGATTGGACAGGACTTTTACAGTGACACGTGACTCTGTCATGTCACAGGCATCTATAGAAGGTCTGCTCCCTTCAGACAATATTCTCTCTTACTCGGGAGCTGCCAAGCCGCCCACACCTCTTCCCTGTTGGGCCTGGACCCGCCCAGATGCCCAGACCCTTGCTCCATTACCGCAAACCACGAAAGGTAGGGCAATTGATCACAGACTCTCCAACCTGAACCATAAAGTTAGAGGTGCAAGCACAAGGTTTGCAACTAGCTTTCTAGCAACAAGGAGAACCAAGTGAGTTAGCACCTAGCGTCTAACTCTGTAAAGACCTCGAGCAACCAGCTTCCTCAGAGTTCCACCTTTGGAATAAAGGACACACCAAAGACTGCATCTGGAACCACACTTCTTTCCAGCATTCTTCCGCTGGCTAACAAAGCAGCACACCACCAAGTGACTCTTTCTTCCATCCACTCAAGGATCGGTAACGTAACAACTGGGCATAGCTTTATCACAGCTTTACAGGCTAAGCAAGACTGTTTAACTTGTTGTATGTGATTTAATGCTGTCATTGAGTTATTGTTATGATTGTTTGCAGTCAGGTCATTGGTTAGTTTGCTTTGCCAAAGCTAAGTGTTTAGTTTGCTAATACTGTTCACAGACAGATTCTTGCACACATAGACTCATCAACAAATAGGCTTTCAACAGAGCTTCACCCAAAGAGGCATCTCAAAGTTCCCGCCTCTTTTCCTTTGTCTTTGTCCTGACAACACGCTCAGACAAACACTTCCCCGGATCTGAAGCCAGCTTTGATTCGGCCATCTTGTAGTTCTCTGATGTCAGCCATTTTGTTTTGTAGGCCAAACGGCTCTTTGATCACCACACCCGCCTTTGTCTTTCTCTCTCTCTCTCTCTCTCTCTCTCTCTCTCACACACACACACACACACGTACTCACCAAGATGTTATTTGTGTGTTTTGGTTTTGATTTACTCACTTTATGAATAAATATTATATAACATACAACATACAACACACAATATAACATAATTCTTTGGAATCATACCTGCTGTCTGTTTAATGTTGTATAAAGGTGAATGAATAGTCAACCTCTGCTGCGTCAAGAACTCCAAAATCCTTCAGGCTTTACTGTTAATTTTGGTTATTGTCATTAATTTAATCATTAATAAAAACTCCAAATTAATAGTTTAGCATATTTTATGAGACTGATACCTTTAACTGGCTATCATTTTCCCTTTACAGGAATGGTGCCCCACGAGGTGATTTAATGTTAATTAAAGCAGCTGTGCGGAACTTTTTACCATTAATAAAACTGTCCCTAGTTCGTATCACCCCCCCTTGAAGATCCACATATTTATTTGAACCCAACAGCGACAAAAAAGCCTTTCTATATGGCTATTTAGCGTAGCCTGGCTTGGGTCAGGCGGACAGCGGAAGTCAGCAAACCAGAATACAGCACCCGAGGCGGAAGTAAGTCTGCACGCCCGCAGCGGCCCGCAGCCATTAAACCACAGAAGAAGAAGGAGCCGCGTTTACTGTTTACAGAGAGTGTTCTCAGAGTAAGCGGTACCAGAGATACTGGATGAAGGGAGATACCCAACTGTAGGCTTATCCAATGTTAAAAAAACGGTTACTCTTCCTGTCTCCTAAGTGGGCGTGGTTAGCTCTCCCTCCAATCAAAGCCTGTCAGAATGTTGGTAAGATGTGTGGCTTGTGGAAAATGAACCCAATATTTACTTTAGTGACTACAGGGCTAAAGAATTGACCATAAATTGTGATCACGTTCATTTTCCTCATTGACGACAATACTTTCATAGCTTCCTCAAGTCTCCTACGGGGGCGTGGCGCTGATGTCACTGAATCAGGAAGTGAGCTGAGTTGGGTATCTCGCTTCATCCAATATCTCTGGCGGTACGCAGCGGGCATTGCAGATCATTTAACAGGTTGGTTGTACTTTTTATGTCATGGCGGATGACAAAGGAGCAACACCTAAAAGAAAAAGAACAGAAGAACAGAAGAAGGCTAAACGGAACAGTGATAGGGCTCGAGCCAAAACATGTGTAAACCTCGGTCGGGCATTCACCAAGTGGAGAGAGCTGAGAGAACTGAAAGGCTTTAAAACTGATGCCGAGTTGGCCCTTTTCCTAATCGACAGGTATGTAATTTTTGTTTTTATTTAGAGAATATACCGCAACTTGTTAGACGTTGTTTCACTTCAGTATATGACGACATGGAAGTTATAGGCAAGCTAAATGTAACGTTAGCTGATGTGAGCCGCTTTTGTCTGGTAACGTTACAACAAACGCCACAAAATTATCTGTGACTGTGACCATGAACACAAATATACAGCAGGCAGCTGTCCTCAGTTTATAAGAAATGCAGAGCTACACCAGAACATTTATGAACAGGTCTTACTTTACTACTAATTTGTGTGTAACGTTAGCATGTTAGCATGTTTCCACTAATAACTTGGACTGACCTAACGTTAGTAGCGTTATCTTTGCAAGCGAAGGCTGCAGGTAACAGCTTTGCTGTGTTAGGATTAGATCAGAACAGAAACACAACAGGAGAATTTACTGAATAGTTTTGCTCTTATTCACGAAACTTTCACTACTTGTCTGTGAAGGAGACTTGATAAAGTACTGTACTTGTATCTCAGTTAGTATTCAATAACAGTCCTAAGCTGCTGTTTGTAGAGCTTTGATTGTAATGTATTTTATTTGTAAATTTGAGTCATTGATCAAATCATCACACAGTGACCAAACAGCATTGCAAACAACAATCCATAAGTTATATCTCATATATTGTTTACTGACTGAGTGTTTGGTTATTCTTCTCCAGAATATTATTCTCTCACTTTTAATTTTAGATCAAATTGATGAAATGTGGATACTGTCTTGCAGCTATGAAAAGGGCACAGTATCAGTACCAAGCAGTGAGGCAACCTGTAGTGCACCTCAGGTCTTTACTGGCTTACAAACAGACTGGGACCATGCTGGGTATGTCTTTTTTTCATTAGAATATTCTATAATATTGTCTTTGTCTGACTGCCATTTATATGTCTGAGATAAGGTTTACTGACTGGTTATTCTCCAGAATTTAATTCCTCTCATTGTTGAACTGTGGTCCCGCAGCTATACAAAAGGCCCAGCAGTATTGACGCCAAACAAACCCTCAGTCTCTGGTGCACCTCAGCTCTTTTCTGGCTTTGGAACTGATTCGGATGCTGGGTATGTCATTTTGTATGTGGACATTTCATAATCTATAAAAAAAGGCATTTAGAATTTGCAACCACAGTGTGCATTTGACAGAGGAAACAATGCTATCCAAAACACTGTGTCTCAGTCATTGTCTCACTCTTTGAGGCCCTTAAAGTCATTCTTTGCTTTTTATTCTGAAGTATGTATTTTATATACTTGAGGCAAAACTAAAACATGACTATCTTGAATGTTTTTTTGTTTGGAAGTTATATAACAAATATCATATGTTATATAACGGACTGTTACTGTCAGTAATTGCAAGGATGAGATTGTCTTTGTCTCCCCTACAGAGATGCAGATTTTCATATTGAAGGTGTTCAGCGGGTCGATGAACCACAGGTCTTTGAGGCTTTAGAGGACAGGTATACAAATGTGTTCATGATGCTTCAGTAACCACTTTGTAAAACATGTCCATGTGACAACTTCTTCCTTGATGGTTCTGATTATATTATGATTACAGCATGAGGTCCATGAGCATACAAGAAGATTCTCTGGACTTTGATGAGGTGCAGGCCAATGACCTGATGAACAGCACGTAAGTGCCTCTGTTAATACCACTTTTGGTTCTCTTTGTAATATCACCTTTATTATTTTTTTTTCTTCCAATGGCCATTTAGAATTGAGTTGGAGGAAGACATGCCTGAGGCACCCATAGAGGAATGCGAGACATCTGATGATGAGTATGTTCCATCCATCTACATAAGGTAAAGAACAATTAAAATATTGTAGTCCTGAATGATAGTGTTATTTATGAAATCCTAAATTCATTCTCAAGTTGGTTTGTGTAGCTGTGCAGTCCTCTCTTTTTTAACTGTATTATCCCTCAGTGTTGCATTATCGTTCCTGCTGTAAAGGCATTTAGCTACTTGTTTTCTGTTTCTGAAATTACAAATATGTTAATGACTGTGTTAGCTGTATATATTTACAAATGCAGTATTGTGTACTTTTTGTCAAACAGAACAGGTGGAGCACTGCCTCAGCCTCCTGATCTGGAAAAACTCCCAGTCATTGGTGCGGATGAGGCTGTACATGGTGTTCCACAACCACAACATCCAGAGGAGGACATTTATGAATTTCCAAACCCAGTCATGGTGCAAAATGAGGATGACCTTATTGGAAAGCAAGCGTGCATTGCTTATGAAGACAGTTTGAGGCAACTCGGCACTTTTCTCCAGCTTGCCATCAACAAATGCACCTACTCCACTTACAGGGACAGAGTGCAGCTGTTTTCCTCCGTTTGAGGTCAAATTAAAAAGAAGAGGGACTGCAATCATTATGGAGTGGGTAAGTTCAAATATTTCAGCAATTAAAATTGGACAGGTGCACGTCTTGGGGTATGATTTACTAATTAATTTCACAAAGCACTCTTCACTGTACCCGATGGAGATCAGCTGAGCACACCTATTTTTCAAAACCCTGATATATGCTTTTATTCTGTACTGACGCCTAAGCTGTTATGTGTAAAGTTTAATGGAGCTAAACTTTGGTGTGGTTTGACAGTATGACTAGAAGTGTTACCAAAGTGTTACCAAACTTAAACTTTACAATGAACCAAAGCAATGTGTCTTATACAATTAGTAGATGAATTAATCATATTCTTCTGTCTTTGTTTCATACAAACAAGTTGTGCTCCACTGGCCATAGTCTCTGGAGGTGGAACTCCCAGCCATTGTTGAAGTTTGGGATGCAGTCCGGAGACTTTATGTTGTCCACCAACATCCTTCTATCTGGCAATAATTACACAAAGATTGCACTACTTCTCAAATTCATGAATATGGGAGTTGTGGCAAAGTCAACATTCTTCAGCATACAGGACGTCTACTGCGTGGATAGTATAAAGGACTTCTGGCAGCAAACTCGAAAAAACATCCTTGCACGGCTGAAAGAAAAGGATCATGTTGTCATACTTGGTTAGTTCTGTTTGCACTATTGGAAAGCAATGTTTGTAATTCAAGTTCATCCACTTATCACTTTCTTGGTCAATCTTGCTAATCTTTTTACTTTTCTAACATTGTCAGGTGATGGCAGGATGGATTCACCAGGTATGCATGTACATTTTTAATCTTGTCCCAGCAAAGTTGTTTGCTTTTATGCAAAACCCCATAACTGTATATTTTTCTTTATCTCTTAAGGGCATTGTGCGCAATACTGCACCTATACCACTATAGAGCAAGAGTCCAGAGATACTGTCCACATTGTAACCATAGACAAGAGACAGACGAATCGGAATTCAGTGATTATGGAGAAACAAGGGTTCATCAAGACCATGGATGCTCTGCTGCAGAAAACTCCAGTGAAAGAAGTGGTCACAGATGCCCACAGACAAATCACAGCATTACTAGGTTAATACATGTCCTCACTTGAGTAATCGATATCTACAATATTCAAATATTTACATCTGGACTCTATGCTTTGTCCTTTACAGATCCAACACGGGGAAAATACAGACAGTGGGGTCTTCATCACTCCCTGGATATTTGGCATGCAGCCAAGAACCTCGCAAAGAAACTGAAGGCTGTATGACTTTTTAAAATTAATCTTTCATAATCACAATGTCAAAGTGTGTCAGCTGACATATTGTAAATGCAGTTACTAGAATTCTGTCCTGATTTGTTTGTTCATACAGTTTTTTCATTTGCTGTCTCTCTTAGGCTGGTTCAATCAAAAAGCAATCAGCAATCCTGCAGTGGCTGAGACACATTGTCAACCATTTCTGGTATTGCTGCAAACAAGCCACAACGGAAGAGAAATTCAAAGTATGTGTTTACAGAACTATACTGGCTATTATCATATTATTCCTGTTATTGATTGTTCTTTATCTGACATGTCCCCCTTCTCAAATTGTTAGTAATTTTTATGGTATAATCTGTAATGCACTTCTTCCTAGATAATGTGGCATGGTGTTCTTTTGCTAGCTGCGAACATGGTCCACTTGAGGATGCCAGCAGAGACAAGCCATGGATGGTGCAAGGTTCAGTACACCGATTGATTGCTATAAATTTTTTTATCTCAGTAAATCCTTGAGTACTGGGTGGAGAACTGGTTCCCATTGCATTTAACAATATGTGTTTCACAGGTTCTCCAGCACACCAGGCTTTGACAGCAGTTGTCATGGATAAATACTGGCTCAAGAATGTGAAGACGTTTCTCAACTTTCGGTAAGATGGACACAATTTCAGAAAAACAAGATTGTTTCTTTCATTTATTCCTGTCAATAATGCCAATGGTTGATTTACTATCTGTCTGTTTCTAGAACAACATTGGACCTCGAAAGTTTCCAGAACCACATACTCATGTATGCTGGAAAACGATTTGCATACAGCNTCAGCGGGTCGATGAACCACAGGTCTTTGAGGCTTTAGAGGACAGGTATACAAATGTGTTCATGATGCTTCAGTAACCACTTTGTAAAACATGTCCATGTGACAACTTCTTCCTTGATGGTTCTGATTATATTATGATTACAGCATGAGGTCCATGAGCATACAAGAAGATTCTCTGGACTTTGATGAGGTGCAGGCCAATGACCTGATGAACAGCACGTAAGTGCCTCTGTTAATACCACTTTTGGTTCTCTTTGTAATATCACCTTTATTATTTTTTTTTCTTCCAATGGCCATTTAGAATTGAGTTGGAGGAAGACATGCCTGAGGCACCCATAGAGGAATGCGAGACATCTGATGATGAGTATGTTCCATCCATCTACATAAGGTAAAGAACAATTAAAATATTGTAGTCCTGAATGATAGTGTTATTTATGAAATCCTAAATTCATTCTCAAGTTGGTTTGTGTAGCTGTGCAGTCCTCTCTTTTTTAACTGTATTATCCCTCAGTGTTGCATTATCGTTCCTGCTGTAAAGGCATTTAGCTACTTGTTTTCTGTTTCTGAAATTACAAATATGTTAATGACTGTGTTAGCTGTATATATTTACAAATGCAGTATTGTGTACTTTTTGTCAAACAGAACAGGTGGAGCACTGCCTCAGCCTCCTGATCTGGAAAAACTCCCAGTCATTGGTGCGGATGAGGCTGTACATGGTGTTCCACAACCACAACATCCAGAGGAGGACATTTATGAATTTCCAAACCCAGTCATGGTGCAAAATGAGGATGACCTTATTGGAAAGCAAGCGTGCATTGCTTATGAAGACAGTTTGAGGCAACTCGGCACTTTTCTCCAGCTTGCCATCAACAAATGCACCTACTCCACTTACAGGGACAGAGTGCAGCTGTTTTCCTCCGTTTGAGGTCAAATTAAAAAGAAGAGGGACTGCAATCATTATGGAGTGGGTAAGTTCAAATATTTCAGCAATTAAAATTGGACAGGTGCACGTCTTGGGGTATGATTTACTAATTAATTTCACAAAGCACTCTTCACTGTACCCGATGGAGATCAGCTGAGCACACCTATTTTTCAAAACCCTGATATATGCTTTTATTCTGTACTGACGCCAAAGCTGTTATGTGTAAAGTTTAATGGAGCTAAACTTTGGTGTGGTTTGACAGTATGACTAGAAGTGTTACCAAAGTGTTACCAAACTTAAACTTTACAATGAACCAAAGCAATGTGTCTTATACAATTAGTAGATGAATTAATCATATTCTTCTGTCTTTGTTTCATACAAACAAGTTGTGCTCCACTGGCCATAGTCTCTGGAGGTGGAACTCCCAGCCATTGTTGAAGTTTGGGATGCAGTCCGGAGACTTTATGTTGTCCACCAACATCCTTCTATCTGGCAATAATTACACAAAGATTGCACTACTTCTCAAATTCATGAATATGGGAGTTGTGGCAAAGTCAACATTCTTCAGCATACAGGACGTCTACTGCGTGGATAGTATAAAGGACTTCTGGCAGCAAACTCGAAAAAACATCCTTGCACGGCTGAAAGAAAAGGATCATGTTGTCATACTTGGTTAGTTCTGTTTGCACTATTGGAAAGCAATGTTTGTAATTCAAGTTCATCCACTTATCACTTTCTTGGTCAATCTTGCTAATCTTTTTACTTTTCTAACATTGTCAGGTGATGGCAGGATGGATTCACCAGGTATGCATGTACATTTTTAATCTTGTCCCAGCAAAGTTGTTTGCTTTTATGCAAAACCCCATAACTGTATATTTTTCTTTATCTCTTAAGGGCATTGTGCGCAATACTGCACCTATACCACTATAGAACAAATCACAGCATTACTAGGTTAATACATGTCCTCACTTGAGTAATCGATATCTACAATATTCAAATATTTACATCTGGACTCTATGCTTTGTCCTTTACAGATCCAACACGGGGAAAATACAGACAGTGGGGTCTTCATCACTCCCTGGATATTTGGCATGCAGCCAAGAACCTCGCAAAGAAACTGAAGGCTGTATGACTTTTTAAAATTAATCTTTCATAATCACAATGTCAAAGTGTGTCAGCTGACATATTGTAAATGCAGTTACTAGAATTCTGTCCTGATTTGTTTGTTCATACAGTTTTTTCATTTGCTGTCTCTCTTAGGCTGGTTCAATCAAAAAGCAATCAGCAATCCTGCAGTGGCTGAGACACATTGTCAACCATTTCTGGTATTGCTGCAAACAAGCCACAACGGAAGAGAAATTCAAAGTATGTGTTTACAGAACTATACTGGCTATTATCATATTATTCCTGTTATTGATTGTTCTTTATCTGACATGTCCCCCTTCTCAAATTGTTAGTAATTTTTATGGTATAATCTGTAATGCACTTCTTCCTAGATAATGTGGCATGGTGTTCTTTTGCTAGCTGCGAACATGGTCCACTTGAGGATGCCAGCAGAGACAAGCCATGGATGGTGCAAGGTTCAGTACACCGATTGATTGCTATAAATTTTTTTATCTCAGTAAATCCTTGAGTACTGGGTGGAGAACTGGTTCCCATTGCATTTAACAATATGTGTTTCACAGGTTCTCCAGCACACCAGGCTTTGACAGCAGTTGTCATGGATAAATACTGGCTCAAGAATGTGAAGACGTTTCTCAACTTTCGGTAAGATGGACACAATTTCAGAAAAACAAGATTGTTTCTTTCATTTATTCCTGTCAATAATGCCAATGGTTGATTTACTATCTGTCTGTTTCTAGAACAACATTGGACCTCGAAAGTTTCCAGAACCACATACTCATGTATGCTGGAAAACGATTTGCATACAGCCCATCGGTGTATGAGGCACGCACTCTCCTTGCAGCTATTGACTACAACTACCACAACAACAGGCCTGCTGCACTGAATTCTGAGGGCAACAAGATGTGAGTATTTTTTTTAAAAATAGTTCATGTCAAACATCATAGACATTTTTTTGTAAATTTCATGGATGCCTATTGAACCACACTATATAAAGCACAGTAAAGGACATCATTTAAAAAAAAAAGCCATTCAAATACACTTTACAGCTATACTTTTTCTTTTAAAAACATTGTTCACGGGACATTCTTGCTACCTACAATGAGGGACAAGTTTATACTGTTACGTGTCCCATGACTTTGTTGCCCAACCTTTTATGAGACCATAACACAACAGTATTGACCAAAAAATTCTATAAATGGAAAACTGAATTTGAATGTAGTTCTTTTTACATGTTTTGACTGCTGACATTGTGCAGTTTTCCTCAGAAGGTTCTCAGTTCATATGTAACTCCATCATAGGTATTCTGTTTATAATACCTGTATGTGTTAGTATGGCTGTTATAAAGGCCTACATCAGAGGAGGACACAGAGCAGTGAAAGGAATCAAACTTTGGTATCTGTCTCATGTAAGTCATGATACATGTATATAAATGCAGATGTTCAAAAAGCAATCCTGTTCGACATAGATAAAAAATCAAATCATCTATGTAAAAAGGTATTTTGAAATGTTGAACTCAGTCTAAGTCTGGTTTTCTAGTATGCGAGTACAATAATGTTATTATTATGAGTTTTTCTCAATACTAAACAAAAACAGATAAAGGTGGTGCAGGTTTTCAAGGTGCAGCTCATTCCATGCCTACCACTATAATGGATCCTACACATCAAAAAAGAAGTCATGTCTAGAGTTTTGCTAGTTACTAATCTCTAAATGCATTGGCTTTCACCATAATATTAGACACATGTAAGACAGAAACACGACACATAAGATATAAATTATGTCTAACAGCTCTCTTCTTTACATATGTGAAATAAGAGGACATAAGCTTCGAAAAAATAATGAACAGAAACGTTGATTTGTAAAATGTCAATTCCTGTTTTTCCACAGGAACAAAAGGCACTACAATAAAAAAACAAAAACTTGGAGTGTTTACACTGTGAAGACTCCAAAGACATACAGCTACATACCAGAACTACAAAGGAGTATCCTCACACAACGCCTGACATCTGGGAAGGGACTCCCCAAAACAAGACCCTTGAGGCCAGATGACCCAAGGACACTTGGTCTACTAGCTGAAGTTCCACCACCATCAACAGCAGAAATCGTGCATGCACGGATCCAACGAGGAGAGGTATGTACACACAACCACATCTATATCTTACTCTCTTTTATGTGTGTTCATATTTTCCCTTTGTATTTACTAACTGAAGAATTTTCTCAAATTATGAATACTGACATTGAGACGTGTATTTCCTCTGATCAGTCTGAATATTATGTTTTAAAAGTGTGGCCACTGCGTTTTTTGTCACAGGAATGACATGCCAATTATAAAATATACTTTCCATTAGAATAACAGCACCTGCATAGGAACCAGAATGAACTAAAAGAGTGCAAAGTAAAGTGACAATTTTGAAATGAGAATATGAATTGTAATGTGCTGCTTTCACGTTTATCACTACTGCCTCTGGAGGCCTTACCCTAAAGACTTTTCCATGGATCTATGACCCTGCTGAACTCCATTTCCCAGATCACAGCACTGCTTTCTGTACTCTTATACTTATAGTTACTATTATCTACTATTGTACATTCTAACAAATGTAATTATTCTGTTGATTGTGTGCAACTTTTTCTATACACATACAGACACAATAATAATCTAGATATGCTGATCTCTTCTGTACATAACAATGTACACAATGTAACATATTACATAATTAATGTTGGTGGAGCGCTCACTATTTTTTATTTTTTTTCCGCTTAGCAAACGTTATCTTCTCTGTTCTCACTGTTACAGAACGTGCCTTTGTAAAATCTTAGGTCAAGACACTGCCATCAACGTGAAGACAGCAGGATGGAGAGCCTCTGCCCAATGTAAACATTACTTATACAGTAGTAATAATAATTATAGACAAAGCTGTAAAACAAAAGTGTTTATTTTTTTAACTCAAAAAAGAATAAATAAAGACAAAAAAGTATCAAAGACTTTGTGTTTTATGTGGAACTTGAAAACTGTTGGACAAACTCAAAATACAAAAAGCAGCTAATGATAAATCTAAGCAAAATAAAAACATAGACAGTAGGCCTATAAATAAATTGTTCTTGAACAGTGTAGCAGCACATGGTCATGTGGAAATGATGTCCTCTTAGTATATTTACATGAGCCTTCGAGGTATGAAGCCTGTGTACTGTCCATGAGCATCAGGAAAAGTGTCACGGATTCTCCACACCACACAACTGGGAATAACAACCCTGTTCCCTTCACCCAGCCGCCCATACTGCCAAAGGACATACTGTCTGTAAGCTGTATGTCTGTACTGGCGTTGCTCGATGCCCGGCTCCTGGTCATCATCGACTGCAAAGATGTCATTCCAGACAGCGCGGGCAAGTCGCAGCACACCCTCATCCAGAACATACAGATCCATGAATGCTGACCTGCTGACACAATTTTCAGGCCTCTGTCTGCAGCATTTTTTTTCTATGTCCGTTGGCATGTCTCTACATTTAGTGCAAATGCACCAGTGTGGTTGTGCAGGTGGGGTTGCAGGCTCTGGGTCAGGCTCCAACAAGTCCAGGACATCAAACATTAGTCCTGGAAGCCTTAGTGTCACCTTCTCCAAGAGCTGATCCTTTTGCTCTGATGTGAGGGCTGATAATTTATCCTGCAAATAACAAATGGAAAACTGTCACTAACAAATTTTCTTGTTTCCAATGTGCACTTTATCTTATCGTCTTTATCACCTGGCTGAAAAATACAGGGAAAACATATATAAATGAACAAACCCTTATTTCAGATGTTCTGGCCTCCTGGAGTTGGGTTATTCTTTCCAGGTCTTCTTAATTAATGTCTGATGTCCTTGCTCTGCCCTGGCCCCGGCCCCTTGGTCTGCCACCACGACCCCTAACACTACCCCTCCCCTCCCTCTTCCACGTCCTCTGCTAACAGAAGGCCCAGGTTCAGGTGAACTAGAGGTAGAACTTTCCTCTAACTCAACACTGAGGTCCTGTAATGAGAAGCTCTGTAAAGGGAAGAGGGAAAACGAGTAATTAGCTAATTGAAAGAATGAAAAATAAAAATAATTTCTCTTTCCTAGCATTTCTTTTGCTTATGGTTATTTTTCGGCCTCTTACAACACAGTTATAAAGTAGGTGATTGTGAAAAGTCCATGGAGGCAAAAGTCACAATGACATAGGCCTAAGCCCCACTGTAATTAGCAAAACGTTGTTTATGCTATTAGCAGTTATAATAAATAAATGAACAAATAAATTTGTCTTAGAGAAAAACGTACATAAGAGGATTGTGCAGTTTCACAACCTGAGTCAAGTAAGGTTAGCTGGTTGACAACAGAAAGTCTGGGGACTCTTTACCAATTCTCACACAGCAGTATGAACCATGGATGTAAGTTATAGGTATGAACTGGTTTACAAAATAGGCAGCACGTCGTGTCATTGTGGCTGTTGGCTCATAAATATAAATACGTAACATTTACAGAAAACAGTGATAACTAGCTTGCTCGACACCGTCACGACAAACTGTTTCATAAGTTGAAGGCTTTACAGTTACATATAACGTTAGCCAACTAACGATATAAGAAAGTTTTCTGCCACAACAATTAGCCTAACGTCACATATTACACTAATAGGTGTACATACATACCTCGTCGCTCTGCATCCTGTAAAGTGCTGTTTTTGAAAAAGAAAATGCAGTTGGTTGAAGTGTGTAACCGAAGTGTTAATCCTCTCGCTCTCCAAAACAAATGCATGCGGTAGTTGCCGGTTGCAGTCGAGATTTTACGAGTGAAGCCGAATGCCTGCCGTAGCCGGAATTTTACGACACCAGGCTGTGGGTGTCATACCGCTTCGACCAAAGGGGGTGCTATAATCAACGAAAACGAGAAGTTCCGCACAGCTGCTTTAAGTCACATTATTTAACATAATTATTGATTATTATTAATAATTATTGATTATTTCCGATAGCCAGTTTACAACTTTAATGGTGTCCCCTTGGTGAGGCCTATTATTGTTGTTCCCAACATAATTGGAGCCTCCGTGTAACGCCCTGAATTTATGTTCCCAACAACCTCCTGCGGTTTTCGTTAAGGTTAACATTACCACGTGCATTAGCCAGTGTGAAAATTACTATGTCTTCATTGCTTAGAATTGCCGCCACTATGTCTCTCGCAGACTCACTCATATTCACTGTATTCTTGCTGCAGCATCCAGCAAGCATACAGAGGAAACACAAGATGGCGCTAGTGCCTTGATGATGTCAGATTTCATTCCATATATTCTGACTTTCGTTCAATAAATTCAAGGTCCATTCGATATATTCAGACTTTCATTCCATACATTCAAGGTTTATTCCATATATTTGGACTTTCATTCAATATATTCGAGGTTCATTCAATATATTCAGACTTTCATTCCATATATTCAAGGTTCATTCCATATATTCAGACTTTCATTCCATATATTCAAGGTTCATTCCATATATTTAGACTTTCATTCAATATTTTCGAGGTTCATTCCATATATTGGGGCTTTCATTCCATATATTCGGACATTCATTTCATATACTCAAATTTCGTTCACTATATTCAGACTTTAATTCATTCCATATATTCAAACTTCATACATATTTCTGTATATATATATATAGAGTTTTTTACAATCCCTTTAGCACTAATTTCAGAACCTTGCTGTCAGAATCACTGTTTCAAATAACGCATTGTATCATGAAATACCATATGAACTTAATTTAGATCACCCACACACAAGATACAGATATATTCATTGTTTATTACATTGAACAATCATTACGTAAATATTGTAGTACAAAATATGTGAACCATGTTTCATTATGGTACTACATCACTCTAAAATTTATTGATTTATTGAAGAAATACAACATAGATTTATTTGAATCAAAGCAAAAATAATTGGCTACAAAAAAGAAAAAAACTACAATACTATAAAATGCATGTAAAAAAAAAAACTTAAAAAAAAATTAAAAATCACTCAGTCCAAAATAGGATTGATTACTGTACAGCGTTTCTATCCATCAACCCTGTCTTGGTCTGTGGCCTTGTCCTCTACCACGTTCCCCCGCACCTCTAAAATGAGGCCCATGGCCACCTCTCTGTTGAGGCCTAAGCCCTCCTCTCATACGAGGCCCACGACCACCTCTCAGATTGACCCCTGCCAATCCTTTGACCACCATGTCTTCCTTGTCTTCCTCTTCCCATTGCTTGACCTCTGTTGTGATCACCTGCCGGCTCCATGTTACTGTACTGAAATCGCTTGTGCTGTCATGGATCCCACTCATTTATACTCATACCACAAGGTGAAATCAATCATCAGTAACGAGTTGAGAGTGTTGGAAAAGCAATTACAAGGGCCTTTCATGATCTAAACATTACTGTAAATATTGTTCAGCAGTTTCCATAAAACTGTGCGTTAAGAGAAATGCAAGTTTAACTTATTAATTTGAGCAGTTGTATACATTGATAGAAAGTGTTAGGAGTTTTGAAAAAATTTATTTATATATTTAATTATAAATTT